GGCGGCAGTGACACTTTCCCTTCTTCTCCCGCATCCTTAGAGAAATAGAATTAAAAGTTCCCATCGCTTTGTCTAACGACCGCCTGTCGGGTATCACATAAATGTCAGCTGCTATCAGGCATTGCCGGTCGTATTGCCATACTTGCCCTACCTTATATGGAATACAATAACGAATTTGATAGCTCGTGAAAGCACATTCTTCGAAAACGGGAATGGTGGAGAAACGGATGGGGACTCGCAACCATTGTCCCTCTCCGACTGGCGTGTCACTCCTTTCTAATACGATAGAGGGAGGTGTTCGGAAACCGGGAGCAAGCATATTTCAGTGATGTGAAAAATCCCACGCCAACATGGCCTGCTCCAGCTTCTTGACCTCCTCAGCATTCATCTAGCAGAGGGAGAGAGCGACAAAAGTTATCCCATAATCTATCTGAAAAAGTAGACAAGAGATACTACAACCAGGGGAAATATCTCAGCTTACGACACTCTTTATGTGGATGCACTGTTATGATGGGAATTTAGCTCCAGTTATAGTGAGGGGACGGCAAAATAGTTATGAGCGTCTGCCCATCGATTATCGCGGAATGTGTTTTTAATGTGACATAAGGAGAACGGCGAAGAATAACTATGGAAAGCAAACAATGAAGGAGAAATCAAAAACCCAAACTAAAAAGCAGAAGAACAGAGCAGGCCACAATCTTGAGGACTCTGGAGACACCGTACAAACACGTTTCCCGCAACTACTGGCTCCCTGGGAATTTTACCCAAGTTATCGCAGGAATGCTAAGTTATGGGCAAACGTCAGACCCCAGACGGGATTCGAACCGTATCTCCCACTTACTTACCCTTAATGTTACCCAGAATTTTTTTTGAGGAAAGTCCCCACAGACTGCATCGCTCTTTGAATGAAGGGATTTCTCTGAACCGCCTGTCAGCTTCTCTGAGATTTAGAGTTAGCCAGCAAAGCATGATTTCTTGGAATAGTCCTAAGCAGTTCACAGAAACGACCTTCCCCCCCCTCCCCATCTTGAGGCACTGAACTTATCGTGAACAAGTCACCTGGCAGTTACTGCGTACACTTTTTCTATGTGTCCGTTCTTCAGCCACCGTTCACGTCAATGAATTTGACAGCGAAAAGTCTCGTCGGCTGGTATGGACTGGTTACACCGCCTGACACTAAGTGGCTCATCTCATATTATTCGTCCGATCATTGTCTTTTTAGTATGAGAAGTGTTTAAGTGTTTACGTCCTCCACACAAACCTCGCCCGGACCGAAGCGGAAGGACTTTCTCTTCAAAAAGGGCACGTTGAATAATTCCACTTGGGATCATATTTTGTCCCTAGGGGGGGAGGGGGGGGGGGGGAACGCATTTTGCATTGGGAAAACTTTTATCCGATTATTTGTTCCCGTTTCTGCAGTGGTTCGTTGCTCTGTAGTTGCTTCGTGAGAGGTCGCAAAGCCACTACTTTTGATAGTTCACCTCCTCCCTACCTCTGCGACGTCACAGCATTTAGAAAATTTGTAGCAGGTCACGCGGTACCATCCTCAGCAAGGAGGGATTCGTACTTGCCTTCGAGAAAAGTGCTTTCAGTGGTTGACTTTTCGCGGTTTTTCCCGTTTCATGTGCGCCGTATACCTCCTCTACCGCCAACCAGGGCACATCGTTGTAGGGGAATCCCCAACGGGGGGGGGG